CAATGGAGCCATGGAGCTTCCCCTTGGTAATCTGAGTGAGGGTGGAGGGACGGTGAGGGGAAAGGGGCTGGTTTTGGACCCCTGGGCCACAGAGCCATCACGTTCCTGAGGCCACTCCAGGCTCGAAGGCCAGGCAGCAGGTTCAGCCTCACGACCAAGTCCCAGTATCAGCAGGGCCCTCTCTGTCATCCTCCAGTGCACAGGACTCAGAATTCACATTCTGAGCTCAAGGGAGGCACAGAGCAGGGAAAACTATCCCCACCCTCGGGGGTCCGCAAGGCTGAGAAAGAGAGAGCCTGGGCTGCTAGGCCTGCGGTTCCTTATTCCCAGCACGAGAACAGGACAAGGAGGCACTTCTGTGCCAGGCACTGTCCTGAGGGTCCTTACCAAGATGACAGTGACCTCACAAATGGGTGATCGACTCTCCCCATCTTAGAGATGAGGGAGGTGAGGCCCAGGGAAGACACTTTCTCAAGACCCCACACCCAGGAATGGTTAGCCTGGGATTCAGGCCCTGCTCTGGGGGCTTCCACAAGCCCCACAAGCCCCCTGCCTGCCCAGGGCATTTGGAACCAGGCTCCTCCCACTACCCCCCCCCCCCCCACAAGGCCCCGACTCACATCTTGCTGAGTAGTTGCATAGCGAAGAATCCCATCCTCAAGCACAAAGTATCTCTGTGACGTTGCCCCGGGGGAACAGGACCCAGGTGACCAAAAAAAGAAGGGTGTGGGGAGAGAGCAACCATACACATGGACTTTTCTCCTTACACACACACACACACACACACACACACACACAAATATATTACCCAGCAGCCTCCAGCATATCCCCATCCTGAGCAACCATACACATGGACTTTTCTCCTTCTACACACACACACACACACACACACACACACTATATTACCCAGCAGCCTCCAGCATATCCCCATCCTGCCCTGAAGCTGGCCCTGCCCTTTGCCCTGCCCAACCTACCTTGTGCCAGCCCTTCAGGGGCCACTTCCTCTTCTTGAGCAGGTGTCCTTCCTGCCTCTCGGGCATGATACCCTCTGCACCTTGACGGCCCCTAGGCTCCTCCACCACCTCCCACAGCTCAGAGGCCTGCAGTCCAGGACAGAGTCAGGAGGGGTGGCTGGTAAGGCCCCTTTGGGCCAGATAAAGCCCACCCATTGGCCTGCTTCCCGCCCTCAGACCTGCTGGGCGCTGCTGGACTTTGCAGACTGAGTGCTCTCGGACAGCGAGGGAGGGCCCCTCTCTTGGAAGTCCATGGAGAAGGGAGCAGCCATTCCCTGCTGAGGACTCAGAGCAGGGTGGAAGGGGAAGGATGTCACCTTGTCCTGAGGGGGCCCTTGAAGCAAGAGAGAGACCTCATTAGCACAGACCCTACTATCACCTTCTCTACCTCCAGCCTCTCCTGCACCCTCTGTGTTCACCAGCACTTCTTCCACTCACCTGTCCTGCCTCTCCTGAGTCTGCTCCTACCCCATCTTGGGTGGGTCTCCCTGCCTATACCTTCCTGAAACCACTGTGTCCTAGTTCAGAGAGGCAGGCCAGTGCCCAGAGAACACCGTGAGAAGTCCACCAGCCCCACCCTGAGCACACATTCTTGGGCTCCAGGAAACATTCACTGCTTTCTCTGGAGGACTCCCTGGGGGTGATCAGAGGTGAGGCAGAGTAGAGAAAGAGGCCAGAGGAATTCAGAGACTAGACTAGCAAGATCTCAAGACCCCGCACCTCCACCTCATGGCCTGGAGACTCCTCTGTTATGATACCCCCACAGAGCCCCTCAACCCCTTCCTTCCAACTCCCCACCAATTGGTCCCCATATCTTCTAGTTCTTGGGCTCCCATTTTCTGCATAGGGAAACTGAGGCCTGAGACAGCCCCCTTTGTTCCCTGTGCCTCCTCCTATCAAACATCCCCCTAGGATGCCCACCTCAGACCCTCAGTGTCCCCCAAAGCCTCACCATCTCCTATCACCCCAGTCCTTGGGATTCCTAAGAAGAACCACACACCCAGAGAGAGCAGGGGGCTGAGCTGATGGAGATAGTGGGGAAGGGGGTGCAGAGAAGAGCTGGCCAAGAACATGCTGAAGTCTGCACAGGTCCTGCAGCAGTGCCCACAGGCACCCTTGGCACCAGCTCTGGCCATCCTGGCTCCAGGGGTAAATCAATAATACATGAGGTTGTGTGTGTGTGAGATGGGGGAGGGGACTGGAGGGGCGAGGTTGGCCTGAGGCTGGGGAAACAGCTCAGATCTTCTGTTGGAGCCTGTAAGCATCTGCGGAGCTGAGGCCAGAGGGAACAGGGGCTCGGTGGGGCAGGGATGGCCAGGAGGTTGGGACAGAGGGGCCCATGCTCCCAGAGGCTGACCTAGGTGGGGAAGCTCCTGCATTCAGCCATCGAAAGTTCCCAAACTGCACCAGTGTTTGGGTATCCCTGTGCCCTTTTCCTGACCCTGAGGGGTCCTGACCCTTCACTGCTTGCAGCTGGAGGGGGAGGCTCTGTCACTAGAAGGTGTGAGGTTGAGGTGAGTCAGGTGAGTGCCCGGTCTCCACCTCCCTTCCTGCCCGCTTCTCCGGAGACCTGCCAGCTTCAGTGGGAGGAATGTCAGCTGATGCCGCGGGGCCCCTTACCCCAGGGTCCATGGATGCCAGTGCTCCTTGGCCCGCACGCAGCTCTGCCTCTGAGTCACCGTCTCCGAGTCGCCTGCTCCCTCCTCATGGAGCTAAGTGGCAGCAGCTGCTGCAGGAACCAGGAAGGAAACAGTGGAGCCTCCCCTCTAGCCGGATCTCCCCACCTTCCCCTCCCCGGCTCTTCCTCCCGCCAAGCTCTGGGCAGCTGCTCAGCTCTGCCACCCTGCTCCCTGGAGGACTCAGGGCTGAGTGACTCCCCAGAACGAAGGAGGGCTGGGAGTAGCGGCAGAGTCCCCATGGGGCAGTTCCAAAGGGATCACGGAGGACCAGGGAGCTGCTGGCCTAAAGCCAGTGGTGGTAAAGGGTTTTATTCAAGACTAGCATGGCCTTGACCCATTAATACCCAAGTCCATTTTCTTATTAACTAACTCCTGCCTCTCATTTTACATCTGAAAATAGATTGCAAAACGTGGAGCCAGCAAAGTATCAGGTTGATGGGAAGGGGTGGATGTCCCTTTCAGATAGTGCCAAGAGCACAGTCAGCAGGGCAGTCCAGCCTCAAAAGGGCCAGTGGGTGGCCCCCACAGCGGCTGTCACTGGTCCCATGGGGTGGGGGGACTGAAAGCACCTGTGTGGCAAGACAAATCCCCCAGCCTGCTGAGTGTCTGCACAGGAACAGGTCTGGGGCAGGAACCAGCTGGCTGTCAAAGGGCTAGCTGGCACCAACTCGGGTACCCTCCCTTTCTGAGCACCTGCCCTTCTGCTGGAATACTATGTTCGGCTGCTCAAGTCTAAAAATCAGTTCCTGAGAAAGGTCTAAAATTCATTGAAACGAATGTGAAATGGACTGACAGCTTTAAGTGCAGTGAAACCTCTTTCTAGAAAATGGATTTTAAAGGGGGGGGCCTTAGGCCCCACTAGCAGGTAAAAAATGCAATGTGGGGTTTTTTTGTTTTTTTTTTGTATTTATCTTCAGATAGAGCAGGAGGAAGAGAGAAACATTAATGTAAGAGAGACACATTGAGTGACTGCCACCAACACAACCCCAACTGGGGCCGGGGACAAACTGCAACCAAGGTACGTGCCCTTAGCGGGAACCGAACTCAGAACTCTCTGGTCCGTGGGCCGACGCTCTAACAACTGAGCAAAACTGGCCAGGGCAAAGTGGGGTTCTTCTTTGATCCAGAAATGCTTTAAGCCCTGGCTGGTTTGGCTCAGCGGTTGGAGCATCAGCCTGCGGAACACAGAGTCCCGGGTTCGGTTCCTGCTAGGGGCACGTACCAAGAAACAAAACAAAACAAAAAAAAACAGAAATGCTTTAGGCTACTTCCTGCCTCCATCTTGTACCTACATGGCCCCTTGGCTGACTCTTCTCGGTCTTACACATCTCTCAGATGTCTGCTCTCGGCGCCATTCAGAACCTCGGCACAGCTCCAGCCACCCCAGAAGGGTGCTGCTGCTCCTGGTGGTTCTGGGAGTCAGGACACCACTGGGCAGCACTGGCCAGACCAGGTCTGGCATCCAGGAGCCTCAGGGGCCTTTTAATTCATTTCACGTTGATTGAGCATCCTTCGTGCCCAGCACAGAGCTGGACACTGTGGGCAGCTGGTCCTAGACTAGGCCACAGAAAAGCTGCGGCAGATCACCTCTGCCAGAGCGCGGCCTGCCCGGAAATCGGGAAGCAGTGGCACTGCTCCAAGCCCAGGAGGGGTGTCAGCAGCCATTCTCCCCACATCACCCGTGTGCACCCAGAACATGCTCCAAGGGCAAGGCTAGGCTTCTAGTTAAACATCCTCTCCTTCACTAGGAACTTTTGTTCCCCAAGACTTAGATGAGGCCTTCTACTTAAGACACCCTAAATCCCCCCTTCTCTACAGAATCTGGGTTTCCCCCAGCTCCTTTGCTCAGAACCACCTGAGACATGTTGACTACTGGGTAAAACCGGCAGCCACCTTCAAAAGGATAAGCATGGCCCGACCAGTGTGGCTCAGTGGTTGAGCACTGACCCATGCACCAAGAGGTCGCCGGTTCGATTCCCGGTCAGGGCACATGTCCAGGTTGTGGGCCTGATCCCCAGTGAGGGACATGTAGGAGGCAGTCAACTGATATTCTCTCTCATCAATGTTTCTATCTCTCTCCCTTCTCCCTTCCTCTCTAACATCAATAAAGAAAAAATAAAATAAAACAAAAACAAAAGGACAAGCATGTAAGAGATGTCATTTGTGGGAGCAGGGACAGGCTTGGACACGGGAAGAGGAGGGATTTTCTAGGAATGGAAGTGAAAGTAAGAGATGACCCTGAGGATATGTCGATAGGGAGGATAAGCTTTTAAAAAACAGTGAAACAGACCAAGTAAAATACCTTTCTTTTCATCATAAAGCTGTATTCCCAACCTTTCCACAACATGGCACATCCCAAGGGTGGAGAATTAACATCCAAGCCCACCTGGGCCCTTAATGAAGACATTCTAGTGCAGAAATCCAGAGCATGGTCTTCAGAGCAAAGAGAGCCTGGTTCAAGTCCCTGTCCTGCCACTTACCAACTGCACGACCTTGGGCCAGGCTCTTTGATTTCTCTGCTGAGAAATAAAAGAACTAATACCTAGAAAGTGGTTAGCGTGCAATCTGGCACAACAGGCTCTCAACAGAAGCCAATCTTCACACAGTTGTGCAGTTAAGCTATTCTGACAAGGCGACAGGCTGGGAAGGCATGTGCAAAGGACAGTGAACACAAGGCCGAGGGCAATACCCTTAAATGTTCAGCTTCTCTGCCTTGAACCTGGAGAGATGAGACTCTGCTCTTGTCACGTCCCAAGTTGGAAAAATTAAGGGCAAAGACAGTGATTAAAAGCCTCCATTCTGAAATAAACTCGTGCTTCATCTGAGGTCATTGTCAGCAGAAGCCAGGCGACACATGTCAACCCCCCGCCAAGTTCTTCCACATCTCCAGAAGGATAGCACAGCCCAGGTGGCAGGGTGCATTTATGGGCAGGCTGGGTACAACGGGCTGATTATGAGTCCAAAACAGGGTCAGGAGGATTGGGCTGCCCACTGGCTGGCAAAACTGAGTGCCCCTCATCTTGCTGTCTGACATACTGATCCAACAGGGCAGTCAGTTGGAGGGGCTGGTGCTGAAGCAGGGAGTGGGTCTGGGCCATGAGGAGGGTGAGCGCTCCTACCAGCTCCCCCTGCGCCAGGGCCAGGCTGGGAAGCTTGGAGTAGTTGATGAAGCCTTGCCTGCTGAGGATGGTGTCATCAATGCAGCCACCTGGAAAACACAGGGTTAGATGGACTCCTCGCAAATGCCTTTCTCCTCTGAAAAGAACATTCCAACCCTAGAAATTGTTCTCCCTTACCCTTCTCCACCTCCTGGCCTTCCCCCATCTGGTTCCCACTTGTGCCCCAACCAACTCCCACTGTGTTTGGGGCTGATCCCCTTCCCCATTTCCTAACTCTTCTCTAGAAAATCCTTACATTAAGCATTCACCTGGCCTGACCTCCACTAAGTCACTGTTTCCTAAACGTTCTTGAAGAACCACAAAGTGTGTGTGTGTGTGTGCGCGCGCGTGCACGTGCGCACGCCCCTTCCTACACAAACCTATAAAATCCCTATTCAGTACCTCCAGGGATTCTTAGTATCAGGGGAGTCTGGAAAACGTTGTTGCCTGTTCCTCAGTACCCTTTACTTGGGCTGTTTGTTTTAAGTATCTTCCTCTACATCGGTTTTAGCTCTTACCACTCCATTGCTAGACTCAAGATGTCTGAATGTCCTCCCCCGTGGAGTTCTCTCTGCCTTCTCTGATCTTCCCCCATGCAGGTGATGCAGGGCAGGGAGCCAACACAGGTGTTAGAAGACACAGGCAGCCCTCAACAAATGGTGCTGTTGACTCGGGCCCCTTCGCCTCACCCCCAATGGGCAGGGGAGCTTGCTCACCTAACAGCGGCAGGAAAGGCACACCCTTCAAGATTCGCACCATCTCCTTGACCTTGGGCTCTTCACTGACCAGCAGCAGGTTGTGCCCCACAAAAAGGGGCAGCAATTTTTTGTACTTGGAATCCTCTAGAAAGGGCTTCAGGACCTGGAACAGCAGGAAAGAAAGGTTTATTGGGGGCAAGTGGGAGGAAGAGCTGCCCACCTTGGTCACAGACCACATTAGGCTGAGGGTACACCCAGAGGGTCTCCTCAGCCCCTAACCACAAGTTAGGCACCAGACTAGGGGGTTGCTAGTGGAGGGGAGGAGGCAGAAGTGCCCCATCTGAGGAGAGAGGCTGGGGTCTGAGTGGGCAGGGGAGGGGGAACATGAGCACGGCAGCTCCCTACCTGGTTGGGGAAGACTTTCATCAAGATATTGTGTTTCCGCAGCCGGTGTCGCATAAGAAGCTTGTCCTCCGCACTCAGAGCCACATTCTGGCAGATAGCTATCATTCGGTTGTCTCGGAAAACTGCTGCTATCTCCCGACGGAGGAGCCGGATGAGGCCTGTCTCCTGAAGTCAGGAAGGGATGACCAAGGGGACATAAGCTGCCTCTTCTCCTTCTCCCTCCCCTCCCCAGGGATGAGTGCTGGGCCTCCAGTAATGCCCAAATGTGGAGGAAGATCAGGGTATAGGCAGGATAGCTGGGCCCTTGACTCCCAGAGACATGTTCCATCTTCCATTCTACACTTTGTTTTCATTAGATAATGGCAGTCATTAGGGTAGTATTTTTCAAACCTGAGACCACTGAGTCCCCCCAAACTGGGCAGCAGTGTGACCCAGTCAACATTATTTGACAATAACATCAAAATTACTTCAATTATCCCTCTAACACTGTATTCATGTTGAATTACTTTACTAATTATAAATACAAGATAACTCTTTTGCAGTGTTAATTCAAAACAGAGACATTTTCACAGAAAAAGAGAAGGGAGGGAGATAGAAACATCGATGACAGAGAACATCGATTGGCTGCCTCCTGCATGCCCCCCCACTAGGGATCGGGCCCACAACCTGGGCATGTGCCCTGACTAGGAATTGAACTGGCAACCTCCTGGTGCATGGGTGGACGCTCAACCACTGAGCCACACTGACCAGACTAAAATTTATTTAAATAGTAGAGCACTTTGAAGTCATAGTGCTTTTTACAGAATTCCATGAAAATATTAATACATACAAGGTAAAATAATGAAACATTCGCTATTGTGCTAAATCTAGATTCTAGATCTGCCCCATCCAATACCGTAGCCACTAGCCACAAGTGCCTATTCATATTTAAATTAATTAAAATTGCCAGCTGGTGTGGTTCAGTGGATTGAGCATCGTCCCATGGACTGAGATCTCAGTTCAATTCCCAGTCAAAGCACAAGCCGGGGTTGCAGGCTCCATCCTCATTAGGGGGCGTGCAGGAGGCAGCTGATTGATGTTTCTCTCACATGGATGTTTCTATCTCTCTATCTAAAAAAAAATCAATTAAAAACATTTCAAGCCCTGGCCGGTTTTGCTCAGTGATTAGAGCGTCGGCCTGTGATCCAGAGAGACCGAGGTTCGGTTCCTGCTAAGGGCACGTACCTTGGTTGCAGTTTGTTCCCTGGCCCTGGTTGGGTTGTGTGGGTGGCAGCCACTCGATGTGTCTCTCTCACATCGATGTTTCTCTCTCTCTCTCTCTCTCCCCCTCCCTCCCACTCTATCTGAACAAAAAATGGAAAAATGTTCTCAGGTGAGGGTAAAAAATAAAATAAATAAATAAAGTATCTGGGCCATCGGGTCCAAGTGAGGAAGTAATGATATGGATGATTGTGTCCTGGAATCCTACTTCACTATAGCCATGGATATAAGATCATTTTAATCACCTTACCACTGCCAAGTAACATGCCCAGTTTTCTCCTTACCTCCTGGGAAGGCCTGGAAGGAGGTGTCAGGCATCTAGGATTGACAGCAGGTTTGGGGGGGATATACTCAGTCACAGCCATCAGTTTCTGCCTCTCATAGTGCATCACACGACGGTGGCGGGTAACAGCCTTGGAACCACAGCGGACAGTCTGGACGGTGGGCAGCCGGCCTGGGAGGGGAAATGGCAATGAGTGAGATGCAGCCTCTTGGAGGCCTTAGTCTGCCCCAGATGGAGAAAAAGCCCACCCTCTGGGCAGAGAAAACCATGGCTCACAGAGCTAGATTCAGTGCAAGAGTGGAATGAAGAATTTCCTGCTAGAAATCCTGAATCCCAAACCTTCTCTTCTAATGGCTGACCTTACTCCAATTGCTTGATCCTTTGATGCTCCCATTTCTCCAGCACTTCTTTATGTACAGAGACGGGGAAAAAGATGAGAACCAAAGAGAAAGAATTTTGAACACATTAAAAAAGGGAGGGAAGAATAAACTTTTTCTTAAATGGCCAAATATTAAATATTAAGTTTAAGAGCCAAACAGCCCAGCCGGTGTGGCTCGGTGGTTGAGCATCGACCCATGCACCAAGAGGTTGCTGGATCAATTCCTGGTCAGGGCACATGCCCAGGTTGTGGGCCTGATCCCCAGTGGGGGGCATACAGAAGGCGGCCAATAGATGTTTTCTCTCATTGATCTTTCTATCTCTCTTTCCCTCCTCCTTCCTCTCTTTCTAAAATCAATAAAGGGAAAAAAAAAATTAAGGGCCAAACAGCCTCTGTCACTACTACTCAACGCTACCAATGTATCATGAAAGCAATCATAGATAATATATACACAAAGAGATGTGGCTGAGTTCCAATAAAACATGGGTGACCAGCCCTGCCATAATTTGCCAAACCCTGGTCTAAACCAGTGGTGCTCAAAGTGTGCCTCCACCCCGAACCAACATCAGCAGCACCTGGGAACTTCTTAGAAATACCAGTTGAGGCCCCATCCTAGACCTACTGAATCAGGTCTGGAGTGGAGCCCAGTAATGTTTGAATAAGCCTTCCAGGTGATGCTGATGCATACTGGAGTTTGAAAACCACTGCTCTAAGCATTGCTCTGAAGCCTTCTCCCATGATTTGAAGGAAGAGTGGGTGAGTTAAAGTCTTCGGAACTCCCCCAAACAAGTCTCCCTTCCCTCTGCTCATTTTGTTTGTCTTGTTTGCAGGAATTGCCAGAAAGCACTCCTCAGAAGACAAGGGAACCATTTGAAACTATTGAGCCAAAGTGACACCCCCTCCCCCCACCCCCTATCCCCCACTTCATCCTGGACCAAAGAATACATGCTAGAGCTTCCCACTTTCAGCCCTTCCCAAGACTGGGATGATATCTCAGGGAAAGGATCTGCTAGAAGGTTGCTCTAACAGTCAGAGAGCATGGAAAGTTCTTGGGGTGAGAGGTTTTATTGACAGGGGCCACAATACCTAACTGTTAAGAGCACATGCTCTGGATCAGATGGTACCAGATTTTCATCTGTCTTCTGCCACTTACTAGCTGTGACCTTGCCCAGTCATTTGACTGGTCTAAACTTGGGTTTCTTCTGTAAAGAGATGAGAACTCCTCTTCATATGGTACTTTACAATTTAAATGAGATAATACATGTAAAGCATTTATCACTGTACCTGGCCTGTACTGTGTGCTCAGAATCATTCATTCAACAAATACCTACTGCATGTCTAATAATGTTAAGCTTTACGACACCTGTTGTTTATGCTGAATGAACATCATTCTGCCCTTATGGAGTTTTAAGTCTAATAGATAAATAAACAAATGCAAAATTACAGACTGTGATGTGCTAAGGAGACGATAAGCAGGGTGCAAGGTACAGATTTAACAGGGGAATCCTGCTTTGCAGCGGGTGGCAAGGGCAGGCCTACGGAACTGACATTTAGGCTGAGACCTTAAGGAGACAGAGTGCCAAGGTCGGGGCGGGGAGTGGTCTAAGCAAAGTAAACTGGAGGCGAGCAAAACCTAGGTGAATTAGAGAAACCCAAAGAATGCAAGACTGGGGCGTAGACAATAGATACTGTGGTTATGACCGACGCTGTTGCTGTTTGCGGTTATTACTAGAGTCTGGAGTCACAGAGAATTAAACTGGGGAAGGAGGCCGGCAACCTGGCTGGGGGGTCATTGGGAGCTGTCTGGAGTCAGAGATTACGGGAGAGGCCCAGTAGTAGCGGAGGGGAGATGAGGATTAGAGAGCACCGGCCGTAACACTCCGTGAGGATCTGAGCCGCTCCTTACCCGCCTGGGGCAGGAGACCGCCTCGCAGAGTCCCAGCCACGGTCGCAGCCATTGCCACGGGAAGAACGGACAGGAGCCGAGCAAAACGGAAAGAGCTAAGGATTGTGGGAGACCTGGGCCCGGAAGCAGGGGGAGGATCCGCCGACTGGTGCAATAATACGCATGCGCTGCAAGCCCGCCCTCCCGGACGCCACACCGGGCGTCGGTCTCTTAGCAACGACGCTAAACCGCAGAACCGCTCTTCTGCGTCCACTTGCACAAACCTCCCGAGTTTTCGGCCAGCAAAACCCTACTACAACCCTTAAATTCCAGACGCCCCACGTTTGTCTTCTACCCCACTTCAATAATTTGCTTCGACTCAACCCCTTTCCCTTGTCCCCCAAGTCTCAGCGTTTCTCTTCATACCATTCTGGATCCCGCCGTCCCCTGGGACTGTCCAAACTGCTCTGCTCTTCGTTCCAATCCCGCCCCAGGCCAGCAGCCTTTATATCATGCCTGGAGGTGAGTAGGGACATGGGATGGTAGGTAGAACAGTTAGGTAACAGTAGGGTGAATAAGGAGCTGTAACATTGAACCCATCTTTTCACAGCTAAGCTTGCCCAGAGTCCAGAGGAAGGGGACGTGTGCATTACTGAAGCCCTTATCATTAAGCGGAACTTGACCTTCCCTGAGGATGAGGATCTGTCAGAGAAGATGTGAGTACAGGGAGAGATAAAGGTGCTGGAATATTGAAACAGCCGGGATGACCAGTTCCCTGCGCTGTACTGATTTGTCAACTAATCTTGTCCCTCTCTTACTCCACACATTCAATCAGTGGTAATGTCCAATTGATTTTCCCTCCTTAAAAATAATTATATTTCTTTTCCACCAGCCCACTCAACTGCCTTAGATAAAGCTGTCATCACCTCTCAACAAATTCCTAATTAGTCTTCATGACCCTAGTCCAGGCTCCCCCTACTGTTGCCAAAGTGAACCTTTGAAATGACAGATCTGGTCAATCACTCCCTGATATTACCTTCAAAAATAAAATCTAAACACCTTAGCATGAGTTGACCTTCGCTGCCCATTCAGCCTTATTTCTTGTCATTCTCCACAAGTGTGCAATTCCTCTAAGACCCCATGTTCTCATACCTTAGTACCTTACTACTTAGAGTGGTTGGTGTGGGGAATGGGGCAGTAGCGTCAACATTACCTGGAAGCCTGTTAGAAATGAAGAATCAGCCCCACCCCAGACCTAGTGAATCAGAATCTGCATTTTTATTTTTATTTTTTTTTTTTTTTTTTTTTTTTTTATCCTCACCCGAGGACATTTTTGCAATTTTTGTACAGATAGAGTGGGAGGGAGGGAGAGAGAGAGAAACATCGACGTGAAAGGGACACATCGAGTGGCTGCCACCCACACGACCGACCAGGGCCGGGGACAAACTGCAACCGAAGTACGTGCCCTTAGCGGGAACCGAACCCGGGTCTCTCCAGACCACAGGCCAACGCTCTAACCGCTGAGCCAAACCGGCCAGGGCAGAATCTGCATTTTTATTTTTATTATGTGACCCTAGCGGGAACCGAACCCAGGACTCTCTAAGTCCACAGGCCGACACTCCAACCGCTGAGCCAAACTGGCCAGGGCAGAATCTGCATTTTTAACAAGACTTCCAGGGAATTTGGGGGCACATAAAAGTTTGAGAAAGGCTGAATAAGCACATACTATTCCTTCAGTTTGAAATGCTTTCTCCTCAGCTTCCTGGCTAACTCCTACTCATATGTCACCTCCTTCAGGAAGCATTTCCTGATTCCCCTACTGCGGACTCACTATACAGCCCATGTGATCCCTTAGTACTGGGCGCTGTCATCCACGTATCACAGATGATTGGCCTCCTTCTCTAGTAGTGATGGGCAGGGACTCTCTCATTTGTCTCTAGTGGGCACTCAGTAAATGTTGTGGAATTAGTGAATAGGTGGATGGAACAAGTGATTTTCCCTTCATGGACCACTAAAAAAGGAGGTGAGGAAGAATCGTCCTACAAAGATTGTCTCATCTCTGTCCCCGCTCCTGCTTCCACCATCCAAGCTGACTCAAAGAAGGCTTCCTTTGCCTCTTGAGTCTCCCCATGAACTATAAGCTGATGTCACTGAGTTCCCCAGTTAAAGGGCCCTGACTCCTCTATTACTCTGATCCTACCCAGTGCTACTGACAGAGATCCAGGTCTCCAAGTCAACCCAGTTTCATGATTTGGACACCACCTCATGAGTCAAGAAAGTGTCCCTGAGCCCTGGCCAGTTTGGCTCAGCAGTTAGAGCGTCAGCCTGCGGTCCAGAGGGACCCGGGTTCGGTTCCCGCTAAGGGCATGTACCTCGGTTGCAGTTTGTCCCCGGCCCTGGTTGGTCGTGTGGGTGGCAGCCACTCGATGTGTCCCTTTCACACCGATGTTTCTCTCTCTCTCTCTCTGTTCCTCTCTCTCCCTCCCACTCTACCTGAACAAAAAATGGAAAAATGTCCTCGGGTGAGGATTAAAATAAGAAAAGAAAAAAGAAAGTGTCCCTGATATCTAATCAAAGTCACTTAGCCATCCACTCCTCCTCATAATCTTTCCTCTCTCATCCCCCTCTTCCCTGCTAAGACACAGAAGTGGAACTCTGTTACACCACCCTACATACTGTTCTCCCAGGTTTCACACCATTGCTGAACTACAGACTGTCCGCCTGGACCGGGAGGGGATCACCACTATCAGAAACCTAGAGAGCCTCCAGAACCTTCACAGCCTCTATCTGCAAGCGGTAACTTCTTACCCCCTCTCCTTCCTCCCCACTTGCTCCTTGTGGGCCGAGTCTGTCTAATCTGAAAGGAGCCAACCAGGTCATCTTGCCCATTCCCTGGTGTTCAGGCAGGAAGACCTTCATTGAAACCATTCCCAGATGAGCCAGAAATTCTCCTGAATTGAAAGGCCATTCCTCCCAACAGAGATCCTGAACATGTTCTTGAATCACTGTTTTTTTGTCAGACACTTCTCTTGGTCTAGTTCTTCTTGGTGTCTACCCTAAATCTTTCATGTTATATAGCTCAAGCTCTTTCCCTGTTTTGAAGAAGAGGAAGAGGGAACCAAGAAGATTCTTCTGTGTCCTTCAGAAACTTGAAGGCTGTCAGTGGTGGTGGGGATGGTGGACGGTTGGTTGACCTTCAGCCTCCCCCAGATTGAATATACTCAGATCCCTGAAGAAGGCAATATATGTTCATTGTTCCCTTCGTGTATGCAAGCCCTCACCAAGGCCTTTTCCATTTCCCTGTGGTGCCTTGGTTTCCTTCTCTGATTTCCAGGTCAGTCTTTGGTTGTGGGGTGATCAGTGTATATGTTAATCAATTTTAGCCAGCCCCAAATGTATACCCTTAACCATCCACCTGAAGAAAACAAATCATCCCAAGGTTGTGACAAAGAGTTCAGTGACTGGGCCTTCACTCCCAAGTGCCATATCTCCTGTTGCATGAGTAGAAATGGTCTTGGGGTTTTTGTCCCTTTAAAGAGTCTCCCACCCAGCTGACCTCAGGTTGGTTTCCCACCTTGGTTTCTCCTTGCAGAATAAGATCCAGCGAATTGAGAACCTGGCCTGCGTCCCCTCCTTGCGGTATGTGGTGCCAGGACTCGGGTGGGTTGGGGGTGAGCAGAAGAAACAAGAAAGGGGAGGAAACCTGGTAACACACCCAAGGAACTGGTTCAGATCTCTCCAAGCCTGGCTTCTTGTCAGTTGAAAATCCAGCAAGCCTAGCTCTATTTCCTTCACCCCAGAAGGCCTTGTGTCCCTACTTGTCATCCAGCTGCTTAGCCAGGGGCCTGAGGGCCTGATGCCCTCTTCCTTTCCTGCAGCTGTTCTATGATTCAGCTCTTTCTCTGTACCTCTCTCTTCCCCTATAGCTTCCTGTCTCTAGCAGGAAACCGAATCAGGCAGGTGGAAAACCTCCGTGACCTCCCATACCTCCAGTTTCTGGACCTTTCTGAGAACCTGATAGAAAAACTGAAACTGGGTAGGAATGCCCTCACCCTGGCTCCTAGAATCAGTCTTGTGCGGGGCCCTCCCTCCTCTCTGCCCGTCTCCCCGGACTTGCATTGACAGTACATCCTTCAGGGGATCCAGGGGCTGTGCAGAGAGGCAGTGGCTTTGGGCTGGAAGGTGGGTATGAGCATTTTATCCCCTCCCCCGCTTTGGTGCGAGCAGATGAATTCCCCCAGAGCCTTCTCATCCTCAACCTGACTGGAAACAGCTGCACCAGCCAGGAAGGCTACAGGTGAGGAGGAATTGAAGGAGGGAGGAAATGGCCGAGCTCCTCCTCCTAACTCCACGTAGGCTTCCTCTCAGCCTGCAAACCTGGAGTCCCGGTCCATGGTACCTTCTCCTCCTGCACCCCAGCTCAAGTCGGTCCTTTTTTCCCTTTCACCCCCATAACTCCGCACGGAACCAGCCCTTAGCCCTTCGGGGACTTCACGCTCGTGAGCCACCATTCCCCCTGATGTGGGTGCTGTTGCCGTGTGTACAACCTCCCAAGCTCCACACCCGGGGGTGCCCTCGAGCGTCACCTGCTTCTGCCCTGCAGGGAACTGGTGACAGGAGCCCTGCCGCTGCTCATGGACCTGGACAAGCAGCCTGTGTTGGAGCGCTGGGACTCGGATGACGAGGATAAAGCCTCGGATGAAGAGTTCCCAGAGCTGAGTGGCCCATTCTGCTCAGAGCGAGGTGACCCTACTTTCCAAGACTTGCAGCCTCCCTACAACTCACCCCTGCCCTGTGGGGTCTGGGGGAAGCTAAGGTGGCAGCGGTGTCTGGGGAAGTAGCCCCAAGCCCAAATCAGCATCTGGGCCAGAGGAGGCCCAGAGAAGGACAGTATAGCCAGGGCCAGATGTCAGCTTGAGCACACAGGTGACTCGCCCTCCCTGCCCCAGCCTCAGGCTCCTCCCCATTAGGGATGGCAGTTTCTCAGGTCAGCCGGAGACCTTCTCCCTCAGGGCCCTCCTGCTGAGCCCAGGCTCCATCCAGCACCCACCATCCTGGCCCTCGCAGGCTTCCTCAAGGAGCTGGAACAGGACATGAGCAGGCACAAGGAGCACAGACAGCAGGCAGCCCTGACGGAGCACCGTCTGAGAATGGAGACACAGCCCACCCTCACGGAGCTCCCCCAGCTGCCCAGGAGGTCCCTGGATGGGGACAGCAGCCCTTCCGTCACTCCCAGGCAGGGGAAGGAGACACCCCATGAGTCTGCCTCCTTGCCACAAGCCTCCTCTGCCACTACCAAATTGTGCCCTCCGATTTGCAGGGGCCCCCAAAACACTGTCCAGGCAAGGAAGGCAGTCAGAGCAGCTGGAGCCCCCAAGGCCTCTGTGGCTAGGGCCCCCAGCACCACCAAAACTATGACCAGAAAAATCAAGAAGTGAAGTGCAGCCCTCCCCTGTCAGCAAAGCCACAGGAACAGGACTGGGCAAGAACAAGAGCAGAGTGGGCTCCCCACGCACAGCCCTCCCCTGTGGCAGACCCAATAAAGTGTCTCCAGGCCCTAAATATGTTGTTCATGTCACTGGGGGCATCTCAAGGGAAGCAATCAGTAAAACACATAAGAAATAAAACATATTTATTAAGACAAGGCCGAGCCAGCCACCCAGAACAAGGAGCATGAAGGTATTGCTCTGATCCCATTACCCCAGGGGTCTGGCCCCAGCCGCCAGGCCCAGAGGCATTGTGGAGCTCAGGCGTACACTTGGCTCTCCCTCTTCACAAAGGCCTGGAAGAGGCCACCCAGCTCCTGTGGGGGTGGGGCCCACTCCCCAGCCAGCAGCCTCCTCACAGCCTCCAGGCCTTCCTGCTCCAGATCCTGCTGCTTCTGCCGCAGCTGCTGCCCCTGGTCCTGTCCGGGAAAAGCAGAGATGAGTCCCCAGGGCAGGCTTCCCTCCCAATTAAGAGGGACGCGTCTTCTGTCTCGCACAGCAGGAGGAAGGACAGATGACCGGACATTCTCCTGGGCAGCTGGCTCTGAAGAGAGAGACCTCTCTTCCCAGCCCAGGAGTCTCTCCACTCCCAAGTCCCCTCATATTTCCAGAACCCAGTTGGGTGTCGAGGAGATGAGCTGTACCCCAAGGAAGCCCCTACTCCCTAGGGTTACCTGCTCACTCTCCATCAGTCCCAGGGCCTCCTGGTGTCCGCGGTAGAGACTGTGCCGGCGATCCACCTGAGTCTGGAATCGGGGCACAGTCCAGACAGGGTCCTGTGTTCCAAATGTGGGAGACAGCACCTGGGGGGCCTGAGCCACTCCCTCCCCAAAGATGAAAGGTTTGAACACCGACCTAATGGAGCAGATGGAAGGACGGAGGGTTATTGCATCCTTTGATTTCCCCTGCCCAGCTCACTCTCCCCATCCTTCCCCAGCTCCATTCCTCTCACCTGGAGGGGTCTGGCGTGGCCGTGAGGAAGTGGACGCAGGGCTGTGTGGGATCCTGGGGCAGGATGGACACCATGCTGGCCGTGGTGCGGAAGCCTCCAGAGTCCATACAGATCCCACTCTCCTTGTTTCTGAGAATGTCCATCATCACTTCTGCTGTGATGCTCCCTGCCAAGTAGGACAGGGTAAGGGGCCCCAGGGCAGAAGGGGAACCTTGGGCCTCAGAACAAGCCCCCCCACAAAGCTACAGGAGGGGAGAGAGGCTGGCAGCGCGGTGGCCCTCCTGGCCTTCACCCCCGTTCACTCTCTGACCTTGCTGTCGCTGCAGCAGCTCCCGCCCAGCCTGGAAGCGGGCCTTGGCAGCCTCCATGCGCACTGGCTGCTGGGTCAGGGAGAAGACCTGAGCAAAGTCAAAGGTGCCCTGGCCACCCCACCAGCCCTGGGCCTGGGAGTGTGTCCGAAGCTCTGGGTGTTCGGCTGAGATGTCTGTGCCAATGCTCAGCTGGTTGGAGATATTGCGGGCCCCCTCTGTGGAGGAGAAGGGGGATGGCTCATTCATTATGAAGCACATATTCTGTGCCAGGTGCTTGGCTATGTGCTGAGAACACAACAGTGAAGAGAACAGACCTACCCTCATGGAGAGGGAAACAGACAAAACAATCACAGAAACGTGAGCTTGGGACCTGTGATGAATGTGATGAGGCACCAGCTCGCATATAAGAGGGAAAACTGACCACCAGGGAGTCCAGGAAGATTCCTCAGAGGGAGCAGCAGGTTGGAGCACAAGAGGACTTAACCAACTGAAGGGGGAGGGTAAGTTCCCCAGTAGGCTCATTTTCCATCTCTCTAGATGGCCCCACCACACAAGAGGGTTACAGCTGGATTGCCCCCCACCCCCTGCCACCACCATCTGTCCCACTCCCTTCCAAGGCTGGCAAAAGGGAACATCTCTAGGAGGCAGGCCCCAGCACCAGGCCGCTCACCCTGGATCCTCTGTGCAGCCCACAGCCTCCCCGCCGTCTCCAGCACCCATGCCTCAGTTCGGTCAGCCAGCAGGAAGGTGTTGTGGTAGCAGAATGACGTGGAGTCCTCCCGGCAGCTGCCCCCCTGCCCATAGCGCTCCAGCAAGCCTGTGATCACGTGCAAGGCCTCCTGGGCTGAGCTGCTCCGTTCCAAAGCCAGCCTGGCACAGAAAGAGGTCCAGGGAACAGAAGGGTGATGAGGTATCAGTGGCTGGTGGCAGAAGCTCCAGCGGACAGAAGACGCCTAAGGAGGTTTGGTGTCAGGCCCGAGTCCCATAGAAATCTGCCAACATTGCACAATTGTGCCAGTGGTTTTCACACTGTTCCTGTCATGGAAAGGCCCCAAACAGTCTCAGAAGTGCCCTGAGCCCCACAACCTCACTTCAATCAGAGATGCTCCACTTTTATTGATTTTATAAATCAGGGCTTTACATGAGATTTCAACCGAAAAACATTTAACCTCTATTGAAAAGAAATTTAAAACCACTACCCTATTTCTGGGTCAGGAGAGGCCCAGAGGTGGCCACACTGGAGAACTTCTTAACAGGTTGTGGAGATGAAGCCAGGAGAGATGAGGGACAGGGACAACCTCCTGGTGATGACACCAAGGCAAGGTGGGCATAAAGGAGGAGGCCCTTGTGAACCAGGCTTGGAGGAGGGGAGGATGGCCTGGGCCAGTTCTCAGCCCCTACACTTCTGGTGTGTTGAGGAGATAAGGGAGGGCAGGGGTCGCACCTGAGTAGATCCATGCCCAGCAGGGCTTCTCCCTCCCCAACTGGCTCCTTGGTCCACACAGCCTCGTTGCCAATGCAAACACCATGATCGTTGGCACCCATTTCAGCCCCCCACAGCCAAGAAGGGCGGCTTAGGATCACAGCACGGGTCTTCGACACCTGTTCCACCTCAATATAGGTGCACTACAGGCAAGGGAGGAGAAAGGGAGAGTCACTCGGAGAGGTGGAGGTACCTATGAAGTGCTGGCACTGTGCCAGTCCACTTACACAGCCCTTAGAGGAAGGTCTTATCATTTCAATTTTACAGATGAGGAAACTGAGGATGACAGAGATTAAATAATAGGCTAGGTCCAGGTTGGTTGAAGCTCATGCTCTTCCCACATCTGGAGGCTTCCCAGGTGTGCGGTGCAGAGAGGAGAAAGGTCTTAGTAGAATGCCTGCATCTGTCACCTCCTGGCACCCCATTAGGCCTAACCCACCTGGAGCCTGCTGCCAGGGGCATGAGTGCCTGCTGGTACAAACACCACCTCCTGCACCTCATCCCGGGGTCGGTCTGAGTTCTTGGCAAATATCACAGCTGGGATGGCCGAGGCTGGGGGCACGGAGACAAAGCAGTCACAGGAACATGGGGTGTCAGGGCTCCCCGATGTCATCTGAGGAGAGGTGGAGATGAGTGTCTCTCATGCCACCTCTCTACCATCCTGGCCAAAAATCAGTCCTAGGGAGCCTCTGTCCCAACATATGAAAACAGACACTCAGGGAAGGCACTGTAGTCAAGTTCGGGAAGCCCAGCACCCCACGAACACTCGATGTGCGATGTGACACGGAGGCACCATTTCTCCCCAAGCTCCAGGCTTAGGACTCAGCAGGCAGGCTCCGACCTGCAGGCTCCGAGGGCCCTGCCCTACCGAGAGTTCCGACCCATCTCCCTTGTTACCCGGCGCCTGTCCAAGAGGCCCACACCCCTCATCTGTCAACCCCTTCTGGTTTCCCAATAATGTATGCTCCTCACCCTCTCTCCCTGTAAGACCCCCAGCTTAGTTCCGGACTCCGGTGCCTCCGTTTAGGGTCAGGTCTGTCCCGTTGGACCGATGTTCCCAGGTGACCAGGAAGGCCTTGCCCCCGGGGGCGGAGCTGGAACGGGGCGCCTGCAGTTCCGCTGCCTTCCACCAGGGTGCGCGCCAGCACCACTTCTTGTAGAAGAGCGGCCTTCCCAGTCTTGCCTGGCTACCTGCCCTTCCTGGGGCGCAGCTTTCAGGATGGAAAAAGCTGCCCATCTGCGCGTAACTCCTATAGGGTCACTGTGAGGATCAGGAGCTGGGGGTGGAAAGAAGCCACGTGAAAAGAGAGGAAAGAAAAATCGGGTTGCGCCCTGGCCGGTTTGGCTCAGCGGTTAGAGCGTCGGCCTGCGGTCCAGAGAGACCCGGGTTCGGTTCCCGCTAAGGGCATGTGCCTCGGTTGCAGTTTGTCCCCGGCCCTGGTTGGTTGTGTGGGTGGCAGCCACTTGATGTGTCCCCTTCACATCGATGTTTCTCTCTCTCTCTCTCCCCCTCCCACTCTATCTGAACAAAAGAAAAAAGAAAGAAAAAAAGAAAAGAAAAAGAAAAATCGGGTTGATTTATTAGAGAGTTGGAACTGCTGGGACATCTGGGGAGGAGTGGGTGGGGAGCACACATCAGTGCAGAGGTAGACTCTGGTCTCAAATGTTCTGCCTCCTGGGTCATTTTCCTCTATAAGCCATCTCCATAACCAGCATTTAAGCCAATGCATCTCACACTTTTTTGCTCTGTGGAGTCTTCCAGGAATGGAGGAGACATAGCAGATTACCTATTTCTTCCATATCCAACGGGCAAACAATCAGGGCTGCTGCTCAGAGCCCTGGCCACAGCATCTGAGCTTGCTGTCACTCCTAGGATGGGGATGAAGGCAGAGGCTGAGGCTTGCCCAGAAGGCAGGCCGTAGGCAGGTGTGTTTGGTCATGGCTGGATGAGACCTGTCAGATAAGGTTGCTGGGAGCCTGAAATCTGAGATATTTCCTAAATGCTTCCAGGTATGCAAGGCTGAGTCCCAAGAGGATGCTGTCTTCAGGGAGATGAGCTTCACTTTCAGAAAGGGGACTGCCACTTGAAGAGAAGAATGACCTAGAAGCTGGGCTGGAGGTAAGGAGGAGCATTACCTGAAACTGCAGACTGGCATCTGGCTTGCTTCTGTGGAGTCTCTTTGGGCAGGTCACTTTCCCTGCAAGAGCTTTAGTTGGTGGCAAAATGAAAGTATTTAACTAGATCAGTGGTTCTCAACTA